GAGAGTCCTCCTACAACCCACACACCCAGGAGAGTCCCCAATAAAGTAAGCCTAATGCCCAGATTTTGGGCCATGTGCAGGCAGTGAAGCACCTAGATCCAATGGGTTAAAACCCCATGCCTCACCTCTGAGGAAGCCAAGTCTTTCATTTTCTGCAATCTGTCTGTAATTGTCGCTGAGAACAGAAGAGTCTGTCTTCTCTCAGGAAGTGATGACCAGATTGTCTGGATCTGATCATCAAACCTGCCATCCATGAGACGGTCAGCTTCATCCAGAACCAGGAACTTTATTCTGAAAAGAAGAAAACTGGCTGCATTGGAGGAAGGACTCAACAGCTATTCTCATGAATTCAGATGATCTTGAGGTCTGACTGAAGAAGGGATAGGGAATCCTTGCTTCCTATATCAGAAAACAAGGTAGGAAATGTAATGTATATAAAATAATCAGAGAAACCTTAGTATATTAGCCACACCTGCTCAAATGAAAAAAGGAAAACCAAGATGAATCACATTCTCCTTACCTCTTGAGTGTAAATTCAGGTGCACTATCCAGTATATCTGCAAGTCTTCCAGGTGTGGCCACTACCACATGAGGGGATTTGCTGAGCTCCTTGCACTGTGTCAACCTGTCTATACCTCCCACAATCACAGATATTTTTAGAGAGACAGGACCTCCCAGGCCCTTGAATTGGTCTGCTATCTGCAAGGACAGGATATTGGGGATCACTTCGAGCACAAGCTTGAATTTATATAATTTGAAAATAAAGTGACTCATGGTTGTATTAAAAAAAATTGAAGGCCCCTTTCCTACTTCACCCTTGACTCTACCTTCTCCTTTGGCTTAGCATTACTTGAAATTTAGGAACTTAGTTATGGCAGGGGATAGGAGCCTTACCTAACACCTCTAGAATTTCCTTTTACTTGTCTTATACAACAGAATGTAACAACTATGTTAATACCTGATAATATCTAAAGGACAGGAAACTAAATATGAAAATTCTAAAATAGATTCCCAAAAATATTCTGCAAATCAACATAATAATCATCTATTATTAAAACAGTATTTTGAGCTGGTATAACACTGTACTATCAAATCTTATTAAGTTCTGGAGCTATGTATTTTTTCATATTCTTTTTGCTGTAACAGAAAGTACATGGGTGTGGCCCAACATTCATCATGAACATTTTGATTTGGTTGACGAGAGAGGGTTAAACTTCTCTTCTCCCATCTACTGCCTGGATGTAAATTACCATAAACAGAAGGGAAACAAGCTTTTCTATCTTTCATTCACAATCTTTGATCACAGCTTGTTTTGTTTCAAGTAATGTTTTATTCCTACATGTGGAAGGTCATTGTAAAGACCTCAGGCTGTCATGCCATTATATTTTGTTTCAAGTAATGTTTTATTCCTACATGTGGAAGGTCATTCCAATATTAAGGGAATAAGTGCTATCTGTCCCAACTCAAAACTACTGTGCTGGGGTTAAAGTTAATTTTTGAGGGTTCTTGGCATTCAACTCTAATGCCTTCCACTTGAAATCTATGAAGCACAAAGATGGCAGTACGTAGGGAGGGAGTTGGTGGTGATTAACCCACCAAGGAGTCAATTACTAGTCCAATCTATCTCATATGTTAGCCCTTTCCCTTGATGTCCAGATTTTTAAAAATATTCTGCACTGCTATTAGTATTGTTAATAAGATTTATAATAATCATAATATCAGTAATGATAATAAGAACATTAATATCAATAGCATTACCAAAAAAAACAACAATAACAAATCAGGGAAAGGGGAAATCAGATGAGATCATGTCAGTCTACTAATTGCCTCCTTATTGCCTGTGCAACTGTGGAGCCATCTATGAGTAAATACATTTAATATAACAAAAATACAGTAAATATTACATGTTCTCAGCAGTAATGGGTTAATTGAGCACTCTGCTCTTGTTTTTGCTTCTTATACCTACATCCATGTAACTCTGAATGACACTATCTCAAAACTGATTTTGTAGGAGACAAAAATAAACTAGGCATTGTAAATCTTGAAATAAATAAATTACCACTTCTCATTTTCCAAACATGTAAAAAACAAAAACAAAATGTGCATGGAATAATCAAGTAGTTTGGTGAATTTAGTTATATTGTAGTAGGTTGGTCAGTTGGTTGGGACTGACTGACTGACAGACTCTCATGCTGAACATACCTGGAAAGCAAGTTCTCTAGTTGGTGTGAGAACCAATGCATAAATGCCATATGGATCGACAGACAGTTTCTGGAGAATAGGAATCACAAAAGCCAGTGTTTTTCCCGAGCCAGTCTTGGCAGCTCCAATGATATCGCGACCCTCAATAGCAGGTGGTATACAATGGTACTGGATTGGAGTTGGTCTTAAAATTTCTGAAAAAATGGTATTATCAGCAAAAATTATGATATTCATGATAGCAATAGCATTGATATTGACAGTATCAGTAATCTACTTCCTGATTCCTTAGTGAGCTAAGCACTTGCAGTACCATCTAGACACATTTAACAAAACAGGACTTTGGTGAACACTATATTTTCCTAAGGTTAAAGACTGCACAAACTTACACTATATCTATACTAATGTATAGTACAAAACTTTCATACAATTCATTTCTTGCCTATACAAATTATGGTATTTTGAGTTGCAGCAAAGGAACTATTCTTGATACTCAGATACATTTTGGCAGAACTGAGAACATACTAATAATGTGCTCTGTGGTTGCTTGCTGACTGAAACTGAACCTGATAAGGTCTGCTCACTGAAATTGGACCTGTACCCTATCCTATCTCCAATGTTAACAATTACCTATTATCATCTGCAATTATTTGAATTGTGCTAATGAGATTCTGTGATAGCCCAGACTGCAAAGTTTGTAAACAAAGCTCAGAATATAATTTTCCAAGTCTCAAGTGCACTCGTATGGCAATAACATGTGCTCCTCGGATATCAAATAAAAACTATAGGTGGTCCTTGCTCCCTGACAGCCTTCACAGCACCTTCAAAAATGAAAAAAATTTGCCCCAATGATCCTGAAATAAACCAGAGAAGGTGTATAAAAAGAGCACATTTACAATGCAATGTAGTAATATGCAAACTTAGCAATCTGGGTGATAGCATGGTAGCTTTTGTAATCTGTGGTTTACTCAAGAGTCCTCTATGTTTTAACAATTGCATGTTATAAAATCATTTCATGATGTTATTAAATGTCTGTACAGTACTGTAGATGATAAATTAATGGCATTATTATCCTTTGGGTGATTTGTATAGCACAAAAATCTATAGATCTCAAGACTTTTTCTACACAAACTCTGAATGTGAGATGTATTTTTATGGCTTGCTGGAAATCCCATCAGCAAGTTTTTGTCTTTGAGTGCTAATCTTATTTAAGTTGATATAGGGTACTTGTTACCGAGAGCAGAACACCCTCCAGAGACGAAGTTCTAATCTCGGTATCATGCAATCCTCCAGGGTCCATCTAAATGTGGCACTAGTGCACTAAAACTGTTACCAACCCCCAATGAAATAAACTCCACCCTCAACTTATGCATAACTTATTTCTCTCCAAAACCGTTAGTGGAAATACTTGTCTATTGCTTTTAAAACCCAAGTATTTATATGTTGTGTGTTATTTTGACATTTCTATGTTCTCTAAGGACTGTTATGTACTTTATAGAAAGACGACCCACATGTCTGGCATCATTGAATAAGGCTTGCCTGCCTTGGAAAGCATTTTGAGCAGGGAACAGTACAGTTCTTGGCCTATCGGCAAAAATTCTTGTCCAAGAGCTCCCCTGCTTAAAACGCTTTTAGTCTCTAAACTGATATGCAGCGGATATTTTCGTCATTTTGCGGGAAATATGAGGCCAAAACAGCTGTAACTGTGTTGTATATGACTATGTCTTATGTTCTATAAGATATAGTCAATTTCTCTCTATGTATGTGCATCGTTCTCGATAACATTAAACTAATATCATGTCAGCTGTGTGACAGGAGTGTTGTAATGAGTAAACATGCAAAGGAAGGTCCAGCCCTAGTTGTGTTGCAATTATGGTTATGTGACATGATCTACACCAATCTAATTATATATAACCAAGACAAAACTATAGCTTACTAAGATATTTGAGTTGCTGAAGCATCCATGGTTGGAGGCCTGGGATATCGTCGTAGGTTTTATCACGTGTGTCCTCACTCACGAGGTCGGCCATGTCTGTTGTTTGTATACAGAAAACATTCGAATCTCAACGAAAATACAAATAATAATAATATCATCTTATGAAGAATACATAAACTATGAATGTGAAATGTATTTTTATTGCTTTTAATGGATCCATTATTTTGATATTGCATTTTAACAACAATGTTCTTCACATATACATGTGTTATATTATTATTTTTATGTTATACAAATCACCCAAAGGATAATAATGCCATTACTTTATCATCTACAGTACTGTACAGACATTTAATAACATCATGAAATTATTTTTATAACATGTAAAAGTTAAAACATAGAGGACTCTCTTGAGTAACAAAGTACAGAGTATTGTACTATTAACTATTGAAAAGGAGACACGCGACTTCGGCTTTCCATCTGGATTTTCAGCTTAGTTCTAGTATTATTTAAGGCTAATTACGCATCTATCTTTTATAACGCAAGCTGGAAAGGGGCATCAACTTCCAGATTAGAAACCGAGGGGAAGAGATTAATACAAATTATTGACATTAGGCAACTCGCGCGGTGCCTTCAGTTTCCCCTTGTTAACCGCCAGCGAATTAATTACCTTTAGTGCACACAACTATTATTTTCCTTGTCATCCGTCACGGGCAGACGACAATCACAACAAAAGACTGCAGCAGTATCAGTCTCCTCGAAGTAATAATAAGTATAAAACGAAGGCACTGGTGGTAGATGGCACCGACCGGCGATTCTTTCCCCTTTGGCACAACTTGGCACTTTAGTAGGTTGCTAAGTGCTG